CGCCGGCCTCCCGGCTTCCGTCACCACAGGGGCGCGGGCCCCTCCGACGCCCCGTAGAGCTCCGCCAGCTTCCGGAAGCGGGGCCCCCAGTCCGTCAGGAAGTCGAAGCTCTGCTCCGAGTCCGACGTGGCCGACTGCAGGGAGCTCAGCGAGCCGGCCACCGAGCCGTCGCCCTCGAACATGTAGGTCTGCAGGGAGTCGAAGGGCGGGGCCCACAGGTCCATGTCGGCCTCGTAGAGCTTGGCCAGCACGTAGCTGTGGACCGTGCTGTTGACGGCGCACGTCTGAGGCACGTAGCGGGAGAGGCTCTCGATCTCGGGCAGCATGTCCTGCCGCGTCTTGGGGGCGCCTCCCGCCTGCGCCTCCCGGGGGTTCCACATGGCCGCGATGTCGAAGGCCTCGGTGTCCTCCTCGCCACCGCCCTCGTCGTCGTAGCGGACGATGTTCTCGTGGATGTTCTCCTCGTCGTCGATGATGTACGGCTGCTTCCGGTGCCTCCGCATGGACAGGATGAGCAGAACCAGCACTGCCGGAAGACACAGGACAAGGTAGGTAAGGAGGAGACCCGGCTGCGGGGCCGCGACTAGAGCTCTTCTTGGTTAGCACAGGTAGGGGGAGGGTCGTCTAAAGGGTAAGCGCAGAGGCAGCGTTTGGATGTTTTGCACCACAGGGTCTACCCTGTTCTCACTTGTTCTGCCGTGTCGGCTGGAGGTTTGTAGCAGGTGACCCCCACGTGACTTGACGCCAAGTGGTTCAGTTAGAAGTGGCAATAAAGTCTCTTTGCATTTCCTTACCACTTTGAAATGTGTGTGGGTGTGTACAGCCAACCACCCAATGTAAAAATCTCACCAACAAAGCACAAAGCCTTGTGGCCCGCCATGGCGTGTATGCTAAAGATCAGGTATGTCTTCTGGCTGGATAAGGACGAGCAGACATTTCTTTATTGTGATGTGAAAATCTTACTCTCCAGGTGAAATCCTGCTTTTTAAAGTTAGCATCTGTATAGGATCCTATTCTAAATAGACAGTTAACTCTTTAACCACATGGGTTTGAACTACTGGGGTCCACTTAGGTGCAGGTTTTTTTTTCCAATAAATACATGTTACAGTACTGCATGAGCTAAGACTGGTTGTATGGATACTAAACGGTGGATACTGAGGGCGACTATAGGTTATCCGCGAATTTTCGAGTGCAGGGCAGATCCGCACCCTGACCCCACCCCACTGTTGTTCAAAGGTCATCTGTAGTCATATGTTCATGTATATGCATATAGACACTTATGTTAAACATGAGCCAAAGTCTAAGTCTTCTTATATTTCTTCCAAAAACTAAGAGAGCAAAATGATTGCCATTGCCCAGTTAACTCAGATTCCTCAGAAAAGCTTTCCATGAGAGAGATGGTTGTGACTTTCTGCATCCAGGGATGTCATGGAAGGGAGGGAATGAGCAGTGACGTTTTATATAATTCATCATGTTATCAAAGAAGCACCACACTGTTAGATGTACCCTTGCAGGTCTGGATAAAATTTTATCCCAACAAATGTAATTTTTTTTCCACTGGGGTTTAAAGGAGAGAGAGAGATAATTCCACTGAACTGTTTTATCTCTGTGAGTGAAAATGTTTTCCAGGAAGTGTGTTGAGGTTTTAGCTGTAGCATTGCTATTGATTTCTTTTTTTTTTTTTTCTGGCATGCTTTGTTACTGCTGGTGAACAGGGACAGCTTGAGAACACTGCAAAATAAGGCCCCCTTTTATCCAAGGGGGGAAAAATGGCATACAGTCATATGCCTAGTAAGACTATGGACGAGCTTAAAAAAAAATCACCATAATGGCTTTTAAAATTTGAATGTGGAATGTGTTTTTGTAAATTGCAGTTACTGTCTTGAATAGCTCAAGTGACAAAATGCACACAGAAAAAACAATTATGTACTCTTGTATATATCTCTTTGTGCAAAAATATAACTCATAGACTACAGGACTGTAGGGTTTCAGAGAAATGAACTATTTGGGCCATAAGGAAGTGGAGGCTTGAACTGGACATCAGAGGCTGGGGTGTGATTTGTATGACAGCAGATTGGAAACGTGGGATTCTAAGTGAACTTGCTGTCTTTGGGGGATTCACTAAGCAGTTACTGAACTCAGATATTTTTTAGCCACTATCCGAAGCAGTGAGGGAACAGTGTTGACTATGACATGATTTCTGCTTTTATAGTTTTGCAATCTAAGGAGATGATAGACATTACTAATTAATATGAATCAGGTGGTGGTAAGAACTATCGTAGAGTTACAGTTGTTTAGAAGCGAATACAGAAGCAGAGCCAGTTAATTCCTCCTAGGGGACTGGGAAGACCTTCACACAGCTGACACTGGAGTGATAGGTGTGGTATTCTAGAGAATGCTGGGAAACAAAATTAGGAAAGTCTTTTGAGTTTCTACTGGAAGGAATTCTGATGATAGAGAATTACACAGTTTATAGATCTCTTGAAAAATAAAGATTGCTACATATCTTATGTTTTAGGTAATCTGATCTAAATAACAAGAATTTTATAACCTCCTGAAAATCAAATTTTGGGAAAAAAATCTATTCAGCTGAAAGGCTTCCCTGACAGGAGAGAAGCACTTCTGGGAATGTTTATTATGCACAGTATAGGCACTGTGCATCGGGCCTATGAGATTTTCCAGGAACTAGATACATATTTGACTCATGAAAAAAATCCATAGTCAAAGTTAACATGTTTATTTAATGGTCCACAAAATGGTACTTTTTTGGATAAATCAACTGCAGTTCAGTCTTGCTCAGTTTTATGAATTATATTTGCTGTGGGATGTACACTCTCAGAAATGAAAGTGCCTAAAGCTGTGAAGATTTCATGACAGCTTTGCTCAGTTTCGCTCCTGAAAACTGTCTGTTTATTCTGTACGATTCGAAAGACAAGACATAATGGGTTGGGGGTTGCACAAAATAAATTGCTCCTTGCACACCACTTCTAACTTGAGAGCCTCTTCGTGCTAGTCTGTTTAAATCAGCCTTTCTGTAATGATGGCTCCTTTTACTGTTTGTGGGCTAGGGTAAACTTATAGTGTAGATGTTTCCCAAAGAAGAAGTAAGGATAGCCAGACTGGAAATTTCTCCTAGGAGCAAGTTTCTTCAAAGGCCTCTTGCAGGTTGTCCTGTTACGCACTTGAGGATTCCCAATGCCACCTTATGGACGCTCGGGGAATTGCAAGAGGGTTTTATTTGTCAATACAGAAAGGGACCTGAAACTGTTAACAGTTCCCTGTGATCCAGAGATCCAAGGACTTAGAAAGGTTACTTCTTTATGCAGTTTCTCCCCGTAGCACTGAACTAAAACAACAGAATTAAACCACGTGTATTTTTAAATGTTTTGGGGAAGCGTATTCCACAGACCTACTAGAAATTCAGTCCAGCACTGACATTTTGCAGTCAGACCATCTTTCTTTGGTCTGACTCAGTCTTTTGGTGTGGAAGTAAACCTGAGATAAGGGCTTAAGTTCTAATTCAAATCCCCAGTGCTTTACTCTTTTCCCTTATAGGGTGCTGGGATTTCTTTCATATTGAGTAATGTTACGAAGTCTGCTTTTCTCTAAGCAAAATATTTATACTATGATTTAGTTCAATCAAAAGGGTTGGGAGACATGTATAGATTTTTTTTGGTCTCAGGAGTTGGTTTAGATGTTTTATTGTTTTTCAGTGTGGATTTTGAAAACAATAGCATGAATGGCCTTTTGTACTAGGGAGCTGGGTGGCTGCTTTGCAGGATGACTTTAGATGAGGAAGAAAGGATCCTCTACCCCAACAGTGCTCTCCCACTGGCCTGTCGTCATACCTTTTTATTTCACCAGCAGAGGCACACTGTCGCTGCTTAGAGGCCATGGTACCTGGAGGGGGCACTAATGCTTATCCTCCCAGATGCATGTGGTTTGCCCTATCAGTTCTTTCAGGTCTCTGCTCCAAGGTCTAATCAGTGAGGTCTTCCCTGACCACTTATTTAAAATGTCACCCACCTGTGCCTCCTGTTCTCTGAGGACTCCCTGACCTTTTCCCTTTTCTCTTACCATTTACCACCTCCAGAATCTGGGGATGAATATTTGGAAGAAGGGCTGTGCTGCTCAGATACAGGGGTGCACAGTGCAGGGCCTGCCTGCATTTCAGTCCTGGCTCTGCCTCTGAGATTTGGCCTTGGGCCTGCCACTACCTCTTTGTGACTTGGCTGCTACTTATCTGAAAAGTGGGGGTTAGAAAAGCTCATCATCTATCCTGCCCAAAATTATCATCTTGGTTCTAGAATGTCAAAATGAACCTGTTTTGTTTGAAGTAAGCTGTGTGAAGACTGGGACATTTCTGTCTTATTAATCTCAGCACCTAGAATGGCATTCTGGCCCATAGTAAATGCTTGATAAATAAGTATGCGTTGATCTGGTCAAAGAGGCCATGAGTTCCTTGAAGGAAAGGACTCTCTTCAATTTCATTACTTCTCCCCAGTGTTACTCTGCCACCTTTTCAGTAAGCACAGTGTGGGAAACCAGCTGTGGACAGCTGTGCGAGGGTGATAGGGAACGGTATCTAGTCAGCACTTGCAGGTCCCTACAGGCTAGAGAGGAGCCACTTACTCACCTAAGAGGACAAAGATGCAGGCCAGGATGGCAATGAGAGCGCCGCGGCTCAAGCTGACTGGGAGCATGTAGGCCTCGGGGCTGCAGGACAGGACGTGGCCGCTGTCGTCACAGCTGCACACCTGGATGGTCAGCGTGCCCGTGCTGCTCAGCACTGGCTGCCCACTGTCCGTGATCAGGATGGGCAGGTAAAAGACACTCTGCTCCTGCTGCCGGAAGCCAGACCTCCTAGTTAGAATCCGGGCAGTGTTATCTGCAGAAGACAGGTTCCGGGATTGACAAACAGAAGAAGAAAGAGGACGGGGAGAGGAAACTGGAAGAACTGACAAGTGAATAAATTTGGGGAAATGGGGAAAGCCGGGGGCAGGAACCTGGTGTGCAGAGGAGAGGGAAGGGGTAGCATCCCGGGAGGGGTTTGACTACAGCCATGGCAGGCTTGTCGGGATCAGCAACTGGAGTCAGAAACCAAGATTTTTGCTTGCTTCTAGGCAAAACCCTGAGGCCTAGGAGAGAAACCCTTTTTGAGAGTCTGTCTTACCCTTTGTGACATAAAGTGCCCAGGGCGAACTGTCAGACTTCAGATCTAACTGAAATGTCCCTGGGAGAGCTTGACAGAAGTGAGCAATCACTGGCGACTTGTGGTGCCCGTTAGTTCTTGCTCAGCAGCTCTCTAGGGCCCGGGTGCTGCTTCGTGCCTCCAGGAGAGAAATGCTGAGGAGCCCACGTGGCTGTGGCAGATTGCTTATCTTTGCCACTTTGGTTGGAATTCTCATCTTTTGCTATTTTCTTCCATGCCTTTGAAATGCGCTCGCCAGCTCCTGTGCTTTCTGATGAACCTGCTCATTTAGCAGAAGCTTATTTGAAATCCCCTAATCATGTGACACACCCTGTAATTTCCTGCTACTTGGTGGTCTGAGTTTAAGCAATTAATGTGAATTTAGTGAAAATTCAGTACTACTTTTTTTCCCCCTCATTTTAAAGGGGATTAGCAAAATTGTTTGATGTGTTTCCACAAAGCTGATGTGTGTGTCTATATATTTGCCTAGTGTAATGTTTTGGAATCTTTTATTTTTTCATCTATATGCTCAACTTTTCTTGAGTGGGTTTGAATTATGAATCAGATATATTTTTTGCAAAGCTTGTATCTTTTTCAACGAAGGAAAGGTTTGAGAGATGTTTTAGAACATATAAGCAGTGAGTCCCAGAGCTGACATCATCAGTATGGAAGGTCTTCTGGATGTGTTCTCATTTCACGGGGAAGAGTCTAGAACTTCACAAAAAATTCTGAGAGCCTAACCGAAGTAAACATTATTCATACCAATAATTTCTGGATATAATAACTGATTATACTTTTCTACCCTCTTTGAGTCTGGGCATGTCTGTATGATTTGCTTTAGATGATGAAAATGAGCAAAAGTGAATCATGTCACTTCTAGGCAGAAGCACGTAATAGCTGGTATGTGGTTGTCGTGCCCTCTCGCCTTGTGCAGCACGTGGAAGAGCAGTTGAGAAGCCTCTACATGGGCAGCTGTCCTTGGTCGCTCAGACCCACAGTCGGCTTTATGTGAGCAAGAAACTAATTTTGGTTGCATCAAACCTCTGAGATTTTGGTGGTGTTTGTTCCCACAGTGTAACTTAGCCTGTTCTGACAAAGACGTTATTCCTTAATTTACTTTTCCACTTCCTCCTCCCTCTGCTTTTCCATGGTAGCGGTCATTATATTGAGTGCTTATGTGCCAGGTACTTAGACTTTTGTCTAAGTTTGCAATTGGTTGCCAACCTGAAGATTGTATCCATATTTCTCCCTACCACACAATCCACCCTCTTTTGTGTTTTCCAGATTTAATAGCTAAGTACTATTAGTTCTGCTTCACTGTTTTAATTTTTTTTCAGAAGTCAAATTTTTCTCAAAACAGAAATCTTTTTTATTTTTATTTTTCATTTTAATTGAGGCCAGTTCATGACACTTTTAGAATCCCAGACAAGAATTGAATTTCATATAAGTATTACATCATGCCTACTATATATCAGATATTTCTTGATCTCAGAATTACGTAAGATTAAAGAAAAAAAATCAGAGCATCACATTGCTGAGATTAATCCTAGAAAAAAGCTGGCATATTCTAGCCATTTGTAAAGTTTTTGTTGAGTGTAGGAACTAGAGCTTGAATAACCCACTTGGAAGTAGTATCTGTTTCCAAGGTGACAATTTTTTTTTTTGTAGCTAAAACAGAAGGTCCCAACTTCTAGTCCCAATTTTAATGCTGTTTACTCTCTGATCTTGGGCCATTTGCTTTCTTACCTTATCTATCAAATGAGACAATAAGAATCAGAGAGGTTAGTAACTTCCTTAACATTTTATAAGATTATTGATAATGTCAAATAAAGCTTTGGGGATTTAAAAAAAGTAAGAAAGGCTTTACTTGAGAGAGTGCACTATCGCATTCATAAATCAATACCATGTTTTGGGCACAGGAATTGGGGGGTTTGACAGTAGATCCACCATATCAGATACTGGCCAATTTTTAATGAACCTCAGTAAAGGATGGTCAAGGGTAATTGTCACGAGCAGATTAACAGTTCATTCTTTCTACTGAAGTTGTGCTGACGTCTGTTTTGGAAAACCTTCCAAGAGATAAGTCATTTCTGTTTACAGTCATCGTGTTCCAGTAGCCCATCTTTTTAAGGTATGGGCTTCATGAATTGGTGCCCAAAATCATCGCTAAGAAATTTGCAGCATTTTGCTGCATATTGTTTCTGTGTTGATTCTGACAAATATCAGAGTGAAGGAATGTAGTGGCAATTAGCTGAAAATTTGAAGAAACAGTATAATGTGTTATTTTTTGCTCCAGGGTTTCCACTCTAAAACCAATCCTGAAGGGGCTGAAATGACTTTTTGCAGGAAGGGTTTCCAGGTGAAGTAGATAAATGAGTAATTCAAAATTTGACCCAGTAAAAATATCAAGATATCTAATTGAGGTATTTCTGTTGTTATAATTTATATTACTCTTCCTTTCAGAATTAGCACAGTGATCTGATGATTTGATGTAGAAGTTTAAAGAGATGATTTGGAAGAATGCTTCCCATTTAGAAGAAACCAGGTTTGATATTCCCTAGTTTTAACAGCAGAATGTCATGTGGAGCGGAGTTAATACTTTAAGTTTCAAACAGTTGATGATTGAGACTAAGACTGGGTATACCTAAATCATGACTCTTTGTTGCCCTTTGTTTAGATTGTTATAAAGTGGTAGTATTTTAGAATTGGAATAAAAATGAGGCTACTGCTACTCAGGGAGGTGATCCCCTCCCTCCCAAGGTCAGAAGCTATTTGGGGGCAGAATTAGCAACAGAAGGGTTCATTTGATAGCTTTAAAGTATTTTTTCACTTGCTCTGACCTTCCTCTGAAAATCCTCTGGCCAGAGAACAAAAGCCCCTCCTTTTTCCATCTGTGCCCAGTGAAGAGTGTGTGAGGTCTGTGAACTCCTTAGCTGATCTGAATGCTTTGGGAGAAGAGGGGTCCAGGATTTCATTTCAGCAGGGCTGTAGTGGGAAGCACTTTCTGGAATAAGGAACCCCACCTGGCTGTTTCTGAATCGTTCCGAAGTAATAAAATTGTTTTGGTGCTGGAACTACTTACTCACTGTGTTTGTGGATTTGCCTTTTGCTCTCTGTTACTTAGCCTCTGTCTCCCTTTTGTTCTGGGAGCTTTCCCCAGTTTCCTGCTTTGATCCTTGCTTAGGAACATTCCCTCAGGTTTCTCTCTTTATGTAGTCCTCTCTGTCACCTTTCTTAGGATTATTCCCACAGTTAAGAAACATACAAACATGGCTGCTCTCCGGGGTGAAGGGAGAGCCAGTGCTCAAACTCCTATGAACTGACTGAATGAATGAAAGATTCAGAATCAGCAGAGGACGTTCTTTGTCTTCGATGTTCTGAAACAAAACTTTAAAAGGCCATATAAATTAGCATTAATGTCTTCGCTGCTATTAAAGAGCAGGTGACCTCTGACACAGTTTGCATGGTTAATAGTAACCCACAGTGTCCAGCCCAAGCTGTAGAGAACATCGGTGGCCCACTGATTACCTTGGTTGTCCCTTACGGTGAAGTTGGGGTTGTTAGCAGCCTCAGGAGCCAGGCTGTAGTAGAAGTGCTGGCCGCCGTGGGGATCGTCTTGGTCCACTGCACTCACTGTCTGGACCAGCTAGGGGAGGGCATGAATCAGGGGAGTCAGAGTCAACAAGAAAAGTTTCAAGGGCAGATGAGACCCCACACCCTGAAATCCAGTAGCAGATTGTTTTACCTAACTAGAAGGACATCCTGAAGCTTCCCTGGACAGTCACTGTGCCATCACACAGCTCAGAACTGAATTTTGGTTTATTGTTGGGCCTGAATATGTTAACAGGCACAGGGTAGATGTTACCTAAACACCTTAGATGTTAGGTGTCGACATAACGTACTATTCTCTCCCCAAGGCTAGCCATTTTTAGGCAGTCTAAACAAAGACTTTGAGTAAAAGAACTGCGGTGCCACAAGGTCTTGCTTGTTTCTGTTTTTTGTCCTCTCACTTCACCTTCCTTTCCTCACATTTGGGTTAGTATTTTATGGTCAAATTGCTATTTTTGAGAGGCTCCTATTTAAAAATGACCAATACCTAGAAGGAAGGAAGCAGATACAACATTGACTGTGTCAGATTAATGGAAAACAAATGGAGAGGATGGGTCCTAGGGAAGTCACTCTTTGTTGGCAGGAAGGGCAGGTAGGCACACAAGACTCCCGGGGTGGGATGTACAGAACAGACTAGAGCCAGTAGCAAAGCTTGGGGCTGAGGAGAGTGAGAGGCGGGATGGCTTCCTCTTGAGCTCTTTGGCCAAAATTTTGCCTTTTCCACAACACTTTTCAAAATAGTAAGTTATCATGAGGGCTTTGAAGACCATGATGAAAAAGTTGCTCAAGAAAGCAGTGTGAAATACACAGTTGAAACATTGGCAGACAGACTTGAGGGGGCACAGAGAAGGTGTTGAAGGGATGGTCTCCTTCCTTTCTGTTTGCTCTCCTGCCAGCCAATAGTGCATACTCCCCCCACCCTTCTTGGGCCTGGCTCTGTAGGCGCGACACTTCTACTGTTAGAAGCTGCCTGCTAGCAGGGTAGAAAATGGAACGTTGAAGGTCGCCTGGAGGGCCAAGGTGGGCTTGCTTAGTCTGACCTTCTTCACCTGTAAAGGGGGATTGTGCTCCCTCACCGGATGCTGAAGATTATGTAACAGAGGATGAAGCTTCCTGCAAGGGGCCTGCTGGTGAACACGGTGTTGCTCAGATCTCCCCACTGAAGCACTTGATGCCTTCAGCTATCAGTCTCTTTGGAGATTGTCTCAATTGCTGAGAGCCACCTACCCACAGTCACCTCGTCCTTCCTCATCCTCCCACATCCAGTGGCTGCTGCGATAGCATAAAGGCCTGGCCCTCTCATCTCAACTGAGTGAAACCCTGATTCTAGAATTCCGTGGAGCCATCCAGGGCTGTTAGTGCATCTGCACTGCAGCTGGACTTCTCCTTTTGCCCAGTCCTGCAGAAGCTCTTCCCTTCCACTGGTGTTGGCCCCTTAAAAAACATCTTAGCCCAGAACTCCATCTCAGGATGTGCCTCCTGCTGAACCCAACTGGCAGCTGGCCTCTGTTGAATCTAAAGGTCAGGGGAGTGGACTTGTAATAAAGGAGAGGGATCAGGAGAGCGCTGAAGATAAATTTGCCCCACAGTCCGGCTTGGTGTCAGTGCTGTGCACACGTGAGGGTCACCCCACTGTCCCGTCCCTGCTGAGACAAATCCTGTACATTCCATCTTGCCTAGAGCTCCACTCGTGTGAAGACGTGTTTCTTGATGTCTGTTATAAACAGGTGATTGTGTATAACTTGGCCAGCAATTGGAAAGTCATTTCAGGTCATCTGACCTTTGAAGTGTATATATGTATATTGGTAAGATGGGGACCTGGGGTTGGTTACAGGGCTGTAAAGAACCGGTGAGCAAAGAGACTGCCTCTGGGCCCAGGTCAGGAGCACCAGGGCCCGCTCTCCCGCCCTCCACTCTCCCGGCAGGTCCGATTCATCCTCAGCCCCACTTGCCATGCAAGATTCTGCTCAGCAGTGTCATGCGGCCCTGAGCCGGCACCAGGGATGTGGTCTGATTTCTTTCTGGGCTTCTTTCATGGCTGCTTGCTAAGAGTAAAACACACACGCGAAGCTCAGCAGATGCAAAGCTGACCATGATGTCCGACAGATCTAACACAAGGAGGCCTGATTCTTCACAAACCAGACGTGTCTACTGAGCTGTGTGCTTTTGCAAATCTTCAAAACATGCCCCAGAGCCAAAATCAAAGAGGAGAATTTTCAGTATCTTGGGCTAAAGAAGACAAATATGACAGACTGTGACAGACCTGTGCCTCGTGATCTGAACTTGAATTCACAGATAAACTGTGCTTCAAAGGACTGTATAAAAGACCCTTAAAAGATGTGTGCTCCACAAACAAGACAGGTGGTAATGTGCTATAAACCTATCCTTCTAGTCTGAAGCCCTTTAAGAAAGGAAATGTTTCATTTTTGAAGGGGGAGAGAGTTTAATTTACATGCTACTGATTACTCTTTAGAGTCTAGATTAAAAATAAGTCTCTTGTTATATTATAATATAAAGTATTATGTATTTGTCATAACAGTCTTACATAAAACAAAATTTATATGTAGTATTTCTGTAATATACATAATATGTTATATTAAAATACAAAAATTATTAAAATAAAGGCCCAAATCCCCTCACTCAAATCTCAGCTCCTGTAGCACAGTAACCATGGCTATTTTTGCATCCTGTCTCCCAATCTTTGTTCCCATACAGATATATTTTTACATTACTGCAAGTATGTATGTGTTTTTATACCTCCTTTCTTTGCTTATAATAACATAGATCATTTCTTACACTGGAAAGTC